CAATATCATACTACGTCATACTATGAATTTACAATTACAATTTTTTGTAATTAAACAGGATAATAAGAGATGTGATACTACCAATTTTAAGAAAGTATTGGCAATGAAAAAGGTAAATGAATATGAGATAAAACCAAAGAGTAAAGGCATAAAATTCGAACGTTCACTTTATCTCTAATACAATAATATGTAATCGATTATTTGAATTTTATTGAAGAAGTTCTAATATCTCTAATATCTCGGTGCGGTCATTTTATTTCGCACTAGGTATTAACATTTTAAACGTTCAAGTTTACATCACGTTTCACGGCCGATGCAATATATTATATACTAAATAAGAAAAATAAATAATGACTATAATTTTGCGTACTATAGACTCCGTACTCCAGAAAAATTCACAAGGAACTACAAATGATTCTAGAAAGTTATCATTAACACGTGTATGTCAGGTTTGTGGCGCCGTCAAAATTGGTTAAAGTTCACTAATGCCAAAGTTAGCGTTTAGAATAATGTTAGAGGTTAGGTATCGCTCAAGGAAAACTTTTGTTAGAACACTAAATGCCACTTTACAATCAATTGATTAATAATATTAAATTTTTATTATACATCTTACTAAATGTTTATATATAATACTAGATGTATAATTTTTTTTTGTATGGTTTATAAATTTAAAATTATACATAATATAGAATACTATATACTATTGTTATACTTCTTTATACTTTACATTGATCGTCATTTTCTGATTAATCAATTAGAATCGAGAAAAATAATAAAATATTACTAAAAAGGTTTAAGCTCCAACTGGATTAATAAGAAAACCAAATCCACTTAAATTCCGTCTTCAGACAAAATAAGTGACGCATTTACGTCAAAATATGTGATCCATAATTTTATGATTTATTTAACGTATAAATATATTTACTTAATCGTGTACCGGTAGATATTTATCAAAACAAAGCTAATTTTATTAATGTGTTCGTTTATTTAATTCACCGAGTCGGAATTTTAAAAATAGAAGTAGGATCTTTTAAACTCCCACTTATTTTCAAAATACGTTAATTATGAAACCTCCTAACAATAGTGGATAACGCAACGAACTTGATCTGTCACTTCATAATAACTTCTTGTTTTTATCAATCTTGTTTTCGGAAACCTTATACGAATAATTTGGTTTAAAATTTTATCAATAAAATTCTAGGTATGAGTCAATCTCGCTATATAGTTTATACAAAAACCCTCTCGACATAGTGAATTTACTAAAAATTTATCAATTGACTCTCATAACCTGACAACTTCATTATAACGAGATTGCTTGTATGTGTATCCTTCAGACCTACCGAATAATTGATCGTGGGGCAATTAATTGCAATTATTTGACCCCAATTAATTAATTGCTGGTGCAGCCATTAGTTGTCAATTAATTGAAATTTTTATGCCACTGATCGTGAGGTAACTTAAAAAATAACTTAATAATACGTAATTACGAAATCGCAATTGGAAAATGTGTACCAGGTTGGTGGCGCAGACAAAATTCTTAAAATTCGGTAAGTTTAGGGTTAGGGTCAGGGTTAAGAGCTAGAGGGGAGTAGTTTAATAGTAAAATTGTCCAACGAAAATTTTTGGTTAGAGCACAAAGGATGATTTCTTATGCTGATTTTTGAGTTATGAACGATTTTTTTTGAATCTTACTTGATTGTGTTACGTTACACCTAATCTTGAAAGCTGATTCGTAGATCAGAAGAACTACGTCACCAACCTGTACACATTTTCCCCGATTGCAAAGAAACCATGCATTCAAGTAATTTCTTCTTGGATAACCTGCAAAATTTATAAATTATGCAAAATACCATAATACTAATTTACACATTTTTTCAAAGTCACATATATCGGTGCTCTAAGTCTCTTTTAATTGATTCCAATAAGCGCCAAGTTTCGGATAAGTGTTTTATAGTGACATCTAAAGCAATAGGTTGTTTATTTTTACTTGATACATACTACTATACCGACTGTAGAAAATCTCTTAACACCCATATTTTGAAAAATCTTCTGCTAAAAATGTACGGCCAAATGTGATCAATCGAAGACGTTCATCACAGTTGATAGTAATTTTATTGTATTCTGTATTTGGGTATGATTATTTTTTTTCACTTACGAAATAGAATATTTTAAAGTCTAAAACTTTATATCATAGAAAATTTATGGTATCATGGAAAATTTATGGTGAAAGCAAAAAATTGCAATTATTTAATTAATTGGTTAAAATAACAATTTTATTCAATTGTTATTGTATAAAAATTGTGTTGCAATTAATTTTTCGGTATCCCTGGTATCTTTTATTAGGCAAGGACTAATTGGCTATCCGAAGCAAAAGCTTCTAACAATCACATGATTTATGCCATTTAGATATGCATAGAAAAGTGTTGACATATGAAAACATGGAAACTCAAATATGTCAGAATTTCCAACGTTATAACTAACAATCTCTTTGAATGATGATTCTGAAATCCTATCTTTCGACTTGGATCGTTTATGTAAAATCTATATAACTGACGCAGATTGGCTATGCATAGATTATAAATTACATACTCATGTTAAGACATTCGTATGATTGGCTTATTTAAATCAATTTCCCGGGCAACTTATTGCCCGGATAACTTAATTATACACTTTAAAAGTACTTTTTGAGAATGTAACGTTTCACTAATAAAAAAATTACCATAAAAACTATTTCTAGCATTTAACGAACGTTAATATTCACTTCGCAGAATAATCACAAAAGAATCAGACTCATCACAGACCTTGCTTAGAAAACAAAATATATTACCACCTATTGGACCGTGCGAAATTGTGATATAGAGTAAAGTACTGGAAATGTTTTCGCCTAAGACTCTTTATTTCATTAGTTTTAAATAAACGTTTATTGCTAGCTGTATCGTCTAAATAAGTACAAAATCTTTAGCAGTAAAAGATCCGGTTTAAATATTCATATTTGATCGGTTATTGGGTTTGACCTTAAATTAAAGTTTTGATTTATATCTTGATTCTTTGAGTTCGGGCGTATTAGCAATAAATATCACATTCACTCGCTTTACACGTACCTATATATTCTATAATTTTATAGAATTAAAATAAAAAAATTTTGATCAAATTTGATCAAGTATATGCCGAGTAATTTTCGTTCAAAGTTTTAGTACCTTTAAAAGAGAAGCTTCGGCTAAAAAATTTTTTTTTAACTCTTAATCAATATTTCTTAACGACTACCAATTCGAATTCGATAATTTTAATTCTACAGGCTTGTATGATTAAAATAAAAAAATTTTTATCAAATTTGATTCAGTAGTTATTGAGAAATTTTCATTTAAATTTTAAAAACCATTGTATTTCTATATTTCTGATTTTCGATGTTTTTTCAAAACTTTAAATGAAAATTTCTCGATAACTACCAGGTCAAACTAGACGAAACTTTTTTTATTTCAATTCTATAAGCTTGTAAAATCAAAATAATAAAAAAATTATTAAGTTTAATTACATAGTCGTTGAGAAAGCATTGCTAGAAGGTATGAAAAATACCAAATTTTAAAAAGGATCGTCACATAGTGCAGCCAATAGAAAAGGGTGAAAATTAGTAAATGCGCATATAACAGAGTTAAAACCTAACTGATTGGTTGTCGGCATATAGTAAACGTTTTATATGAGATTACACTAACTTTCTTTAAAGTTCATTAGTGTTTGATACATAAATTTAGTATCTGCTATTCACAAGTACTAAATTTTTATAGTAAATATCTAATCATTTTTGTTAACGACTTATCATATGATAGAATGTAACCTCATAAAAATTTACTACTGTATATATAGTATAGCCAATAAATTTTCAAGGATCAACAACCCATCAAAATGGATTTTATGCTCATAAGTAGCTGCGCAACGTTGTCGCGCGAAACCAGGAACGGGGAAATTAGTATATCTGATATTAGATATTATAAAGCAAATTTTTTAAATGTATTTTCACCATAT